GCTACGAGGTTGAAGAAAAGCTTAAAAGTTTCTTCACTAACTTTGGAATACCAAGAACAGTCGTCAGTGACAATGATCCAAATCTGGTCTCCAAGGATCTACAAAGATTCTTTATCAAAAATGGTATAAAAAGACTAACATCACCACCATTCTCCCCAAAATCAAATGGACAAGCGGAAATATGTGTCAAAACTGTCAAAACCAAGCTCAAAGCAGCTCTAGAAGCCAGTAACGAAAGAATCAATGTCTTAATGGCGAGATTTTTACTGAATTACAGAAATTCAGTACATTCAACCACTGGAAAGAGCCCAGCAGAACTTGTATTTGGAAGAAAGTTGCGCACGAAACTAGATTTATTAAGGGAAATCCCGCTACAAACTACAGATAGCCAAGAACAAGCCATAGAAAACATGGAAAAGAAGAAGGAAAGATTGATGGAAAGAGGGATGAAAAAGGAGTTGAACGTGGGAGAAGAAATCATGGTCAGAGATTACAGAAAAATGAACCACAAAGGCTGGATAGAAGCAAGAGTGGAAAACCAGTTAGGAAAATCTATTTACACTTGCAGATTGCAAGATGGAGGGACCTGGAAGCGTCACAAAGACCAAATAAGAAAAAGGCTAGACAGAAACGAAGGATGTGACAGGTATTTTAATAAAGAGCCAATAGAAGCTCCTTTCAGAATCGCGTACACAGAGCCACCCATGAATGTCATGAATACAACCATCAACAAACAAAATCAATCAGACAAGAATAAGAATAGTTTGGCTAACAAGGATAATGATATTAGTGTAACAAGCATGAATGTGACGAATAAAAATAATGATATTGTAACAAGCGTGAATGAGAGTGATAGCAGTGTCAAGGATGCACGACAAAATTCAAATTGAGATTGAATGCGTGTATGACAAACAAAATAAGTCAAGCATTAATGATATTGACGGAAACACAACAAAAGTTACATCCAAGAATGTAAAAAGTTCTGAGAATAGGGACAATAGTAAAAGTGCAAAAACATCTAATAAAATCAGACCAATTAGGATAACGAAGAAACCTAGCATGTCTAAGGATTTCCAAGTAAATATTGACTAATGTAGTTTGTATAATTATGTAGAAAGAGACGTGGTAGGGAGGGGTGTAATATACTCAATATTAATTAACGATGTTTAGATATGCGCGCCGTATGCTAAACGGAAATACTGTCATCCATAAATTGTATAGGTCGCATAAGTACGTCACTCGAGCTGACCCTCAGTGTTCGTCATGATATTCCGTGTGTAACATGTTTTTGTATGCTCTATATGTTAAGTGTTTCAATGTATACAATAAAAGTCGTTTTGTTACTAAGGAAGTGTTTTATTGAAGTTACATAAATTAGCTTCAGCATAAAAAAAAAAACTAAATAATTTTCACATTGATCAAATAATGCCGCTCTACTCATTTCAGTTTTAATTATTTTAGATGCTGCTGCTGCAGAGCAATACATTAATAGTATATTACAATCCGAGACGGAAAATACTTCATTGCGGGTCAAGAGGTTATACAGGGTGTTCCGAAATTAATGCACCAAATTTTATAGTTTATCGAGACGCGTAGCGTCAAGATAAACTAAACCTCGAGACAGCAATGAAGTTTTCCGTCGAGATTTGTATACTATTTTATTTTCAACCCTCAATTTCTGAGACAAAAGATTTTATGGTACGAAATAAGCGTGTAAATTGGCCTTAGAAAAAATCAACTTTCACTTTTTTTTATCAATGTCATCAATTGACCTTTTGTTTGGACGCCATATTGCGGTGCGCGAACATAGTTGCCAACAGTAGAAAAAAAAATTACTAGCGTTTTGTCAACTTTAAAATCCAAAGTTAGTGAATAAATTACATTTAAAATTTAAATTTGCCGCCTATTACGAATGTTTTTGGAAAGAAAAGCCATCAATTTTAGCTTGTATTGGGCAGAATAGAAATAATAAAATATCTAGTTGACAGCCCGCTAGTAATTTTTGGTTTTCTTGTTTTGGCAACTATGTTCGCGCACCGCAATATGGCGTCGAAACAAAAGGTCAATTCGGGACGGAAACGGATATGCTTGCCTAGGCAGGCATTGCAGTCCCGATAAAATGTAAAAGTACAGAAATGTGACACTTTCAAGATTTTAAAAAGCCTGTAATGTCAATTTTACATATACAGTTGAAAATAATACACTATTACAGTCTCATCAGTTACCTGCTGGTGGAGTGGCTGAATCTCTCGTCGAATCCCAGCCAAACATTAATACACTATTATAGTCTCAGTTGCCTACTGGTGGAGTGGTTGAAACTTTCGTTGAATCTCAACCAGTTACCCAATCATCTTCTCAGGTCCTAACACCAGCACAATCATCAGAAGGGTTAATGCCAAGTACTGAAATTTGGACAAGAAAAAAACCAACAGAAAGAGATAATGAGGCGACCAAATTTATGATTGCGATAAGGGAAAAATTGAGCAACCCATTCAACGACAAAAAAACTAGAAAGGCTAAGTTGTGGAATGATATCTCTAAAAAATTAGAAAAAAATAATTTCAAACTTGAAGAGAAAAGATATAGGCAAAAATTTGCAAATCTCCAGAAAGCATATTTGGCATACATAAAACAACGGGCAGTGAGAGGAATGATGATCTTCCCCCATTTTTTGAAGAGCTTCATTCAATTTTAGGCTGGTAAACTTTCCAATTTTATTATGTATGTATTTGGCTTATATAAATGTACCGGGTGTTTTTTTATGTTTGATATCATTTTTATCACCTGTAACTTTTTTGTTTTTGAAGTTATCAAGGTAAACAAAAAAACAAAATGTAGGGTTAGTAGCCAAGTTTTTTTTCAAGTTACCATGAAACAAAACACTTTCAATTTTTTGACAACTAAGCCTACATTATATATTTTTTTAATGGAACACCCTATATATTATATGTATGTTCGATAGAATATCTTATTTTATGATTACAATGATATAATACACTCCATATTTTAGTCCACTCGTTTTTGACAAATCATTAAAAAAATATGAAATTTTTATATACACTCTCAATAGTCTCAATAATTTTCGTCCCAAATATCAGACCCCTGCCTTATGAACTATAACCAAAAACTGGAATGCGAACACATATTGACGAACGTGAAGCCTAGTGCCGCTGCTGCGGAGGGGATACCTATTTTTGTCGCACTCATTATGTTAAATGGCGGAAATTGCTTCCAACACGTATTCCAATTGATAAAACCTGTGAAGGTAAAAATGACAAAACTTTCCAAAACGTCATATCGCACCTCCAGTGCTATACCACCATATCTTTGAAAATATAGTTTTGAGAAAAACGCTTTTAAAGTTTTTAACCAAAACAAATTACTCACTAACCAAAAACAAATTGGTGCTTTGACTTGATATTTTGGTTTTGTGCGTTTTTTTTAAAAGATAAAAGTCAAAATGACATTATGTTGGCAATACAATGTAAAATTGTCAATGCTTTCAAAATTTTTATGTAGAAAAGGCTTGTGTTGCCAACATAGTTAATAAATTTTTGAATTGGGGAATTATCTTTAAAAAAAAACAGATTTTATTAACTGAATTAAATTCAGTTTTTTTTCGATGGTGAATTTGGCTTTGGTTGAAGAAAATTAATTTTTACTCTCTGGATCAGAAGTCGCCTAAAATTAAAATTTTACATCATCCCGTTTTAGGCATCTTGTGGGCCTATATTATTCTTATAAAGTCTACCACCAAATAAATAAACTCAGGCACAAGAATGTTCAAAAAATGTAAAGAAAACAAAAAAAATCTCCAGCGCAGCCCTGTTTCATTTTATCTGCACTGCAATACTCCATCTGTTCTACTGTATCTGCACTATTCTATCTGATCTACTCTTTCTGCGCCACTTTATCTGATCGGAATAGTGGAATAGTTCTGTTTGGAATAGCTCCAGTTCCTTAGCAGTATTCTGTTCTACTGTATCTGCAATGAAATTACCGCACAACGGCGATCTTCGTTCTAGGTACCTATCATATATGGCGTCGTATACAAAATGGTTGTGGCGGACTCATAACCTGGCTCTCTGCCACTCGACACCAGCCGGACGGAGCACTCCGAACAGTTGCCACGGAACACGGCTGTCAAGGGATGCCTAAGACGAGAAACGGAACTTAGCCACAGAACGTCAATGGTCAAGCGTCAAGAAATGACAGGGAGGCCAGTTCGCGCTCTTTCGGAATGAACGAACCAACAACAAAATAAAATACAGAATTAAAACATTGTCTTTCTATTTATTTTTGGACATTTTTACTGTGAAGAACAATTAAAAATAAAGTGCTTTCCTCAAATTGTTTTTGTGCAAAGTGTGTGACAATAAAATCCACATGGTTTGCAATGAAAATGTGACGGTAAACTTGGTATCGGCTATAAGAGATGGCGCCGTATGCGGGCTTAGTGAGTTTCTTTCATAAATAAGTAAAATAGATATTGTTTTTTTTTTGGATTTTTTCGATTTATTATCGTAGGATGGACAAAGACAAATCCAATAAAGCAAAAATCATAAAAATCAGTCCAGCCGTTCTCGAGTTATAAGTGCTCAACACCAACACAACTGTGTTTTATATATATAGATAAGTAAGCCAGAAGCAAATTGGTTTTTTAAAAAAATAATTAAAAACTAATTAATTTCCACCATTTTGAATTATATTTTGAGTTATGTTGATCTTGACTGTAATAATAGCTACCAACCCTTCCTTGAACAAGCAGTGGGTTTCGAGGTTATCTATAGGGTATGAATGTAAAAATGTACCTTTCAATATACTAAAATAAAACGCGAATGTTTAATCAGCTAAACTTTTATTGGTTAATAATATTAGAAAAAAATATTGCGAAATAAGCATTTCAAAATAATTCGTTTCAAATGGAAGATAAGTTTATCTTTTTCTTGCACAGTTCAAGAAGTCCTTCTTTTTTCTTTCTTGATATTGCGGGCGGTTCTTTATAAGCGGGCTTGAGTGGAAGTTTTGTTATTGTAGATATTACCTGCTCCAATAAATCTAGAACTTGTACGACCTCTTATATCAATGGCTTCATATTCAAGATCGTCGTAGCTGTATTTATATTTTATCATGTATGGGTTATTTTTGCTGACATTTAAGACAGATATTTGGCTCCATAAAACCTTTTCATTTTTTAGGTTTACACCATAGTTATTACCAATTTCTTGAGAGAGCTGCTTGAAATCATAAAAATCTGATGTGCCTAATTCTTCAACATTATAAGGATTTCCATTCTTTTTGGCTAGTCTTATGACTGGTATCCACTGTGCTGGTACATAAATGGGACCGCTTCTCAGAACTCTTTTTTTTTCTTTCTCGATGCAGGAGTGCATGCTATCCCCCTCGTTTTGGGTGTGACCAGTTACCAAAAATTTATGTGTTATTTCTGGTATATCAAACTTGGAAACTGCATATAAATACATAGCAGCTACAAATCTATTTTTGTTTTGCCCGGCACAGTTGTCAGAGTAAAATACAATGCTTTTGCCTACTGCATTTTGTTGAAGGAAATACATAACGCAAGATCCGATCTCGTTGGCACCTCGTTTGGCGATGTGTTCACTCCACACGTAGCAATATCCTTGTTTTTGCGCAATATCATAAACTGTAAAATTGTAAGTTGCCAGTTTGCTTTTATAGTAGAAGTCTGATATTTCTCCACAAGGGGAAGGCAAAACAGCTTCTAAATCATATACTGCAACCATTTTATCTTTTTCTGTCTTTGCTTCTTGAACATCTTTTGCCTTTTCTTCCCTCGAAAGATCCTTGTCTTTCAAATGCTTCAAATGCGATTTTTCTATCTGCTTCCTATCTTCTTCATTCGAGTTTCTAAATGTTTCACATGTGCTACATTGGTCTTTTTTAGGTTTATGAAAACCTATATTGAAATCAGCATTAAAAATATTTTCATACGCAGATTTTTTAACATAAGCGGCGGATCCTTCGTTCAAGCACTTTTCTTTATACAGCCTATAAAGACTGGACACATTTAAAGAACCTTCAAAATATTCCCGCTTCGTTTGGTTTCTTAAATAGTGCGATTCTACCCTCGGAATCGAGTTAATGTGATCTTTCACTGCTTGCTTTAAGGAGGAATCTAATTTTGGTTGATTGTTGTGCTTTCCCTTCATATTTGATCCAACAATGAAACTTTGATCTCGTTTTTTCGCAATATTCCGAATCATCGTATCGCCAATATTAAGTGTAGCCATGAAAAACTTTTTACACACTCTTACTTTTTCCTCATTTTTTACTAAAAAATATGCTTGATTGAGTGATCTATTCATATCTTGTTTTGGGTATCTATATGTAGGTTTTAAAATGTCCATGCAAGATGAAATATATTGACGTTGTCTTGTGTTATCCCCCATGGCCCAAAAGGAATTAAAAATAGTCTCCCTTTCTCCTTCTGAAAACACAGAGTGGCATTTGAAGCGACATTTTTCCTTGCATGGTGATTTCATTTGCCTTTTAGGTGTAATTTTGTTTTTTGAACTTAAATATTCTTCCTCTTTATTGCGCTTGTCTTTTCTTATGTTACGTTTCCATTTTCCAATGTTTCTCTTTCGTTTTCTTCCTTTCTTTTCAAAATCCTCGTCCACTTTTTGTGTTTTTGCCAAAGGCACTTCTAGATTCTTTTTTTTTACTCCATTATCCTTAACATCTGCTTTGCATTTTGTAAATTTTTCTTTCAGTATTTGCAGATTTATATCCGAATCATTTGAACTAACTGAGCTTGTGTCGCTTTCAGGTTCATAGTTTTTATCTTCAATACTGTCATTTTCCGACTCAATGAACCTATTTCTGGAACGACGTCTTCTTCATTATATAGACAAAAATTGGCATCGGACACAACACTAGATGATGCTAACAAACAGTTTTGAAGAACATTGCCATCTGAATTTTGGGACAAGTAGTGACTGTCTTCTGTATTATCTTCTTGCTCGACTCTCGGGGTAATATTAAAATTTACAGGAGACAGTTCTATATATCCATTGCCAGAATAATCGGTCGAAGCTGAGTTGTTGTGTTCACTCTACAAGAAAATAATAAGCGTAATTTACGCATTCTCAAGGAGAAGGCTCTCCTCATCAAAACTAAATTTGTTAGCTGATTTAATTATCTCTAAATATTAAAATAAATTAGAGCTACTTACCACTGTATTTTCAGCTGATGACTGCAGAAATTGCTTACATGCCAGCTGAACCAAGAGTTTACCTCTTGAACCCATAGTTTTTTTGGTTTATGTGATAACCCATTCATTTAAAAATATTTAACCACTTACAAAACGGATATAATTGCCAATTTGTAACATTTAAATTGGGATTAACAAAGTAAATAAACGTTTTAAGACTGCGTATTCTAACCTAAGAAAACTCGCGTCATGTCAAAATATCAAGTTGTGGTGGTATAGCATAGAAGTTTTTGTTTAAAATTTTAATGCAATACCAACACATGATAGATGTGTTGGTCTTGCACTGAAATTTTTGTTCCTTAGAAAATGTGCTATACCACCATATATTAGGTTTTTGGCTCAAGTGTATTATATTTTGAATTGTGGTGCTATAGCATTGAAAATATACCACTAAAACAGTTAAATGAGCACCATAACTCAAAATCACGATTTTTTGAGTTATGTTAGTATTGCACTGAGAGTGCGATATGTCAGCGAGCAACAGAAAAAAACAACATTCCCCTTTGTGGCATCTGTCTTTCATGGCTACATTTTTTTGGTAGATATGGCAATGTGTGCGCATTTCAGTTTTTGACTATAGTTTATTGCCCCTGCCTAATAAGTTTCACTTTATATTTTTGCCGATTTGTCAAAAACGAGTGGACCAAAATATGAAGTGTGTTACCTATATCATTGTAATCAGAATAAAATATTCTATCGAATACGCATATAATATACAGGGTGTTCCATTTAAAAAAAATATATAATGTAGGCCTATAGGTATGTCAAAAAATTGATAGTGTTTTGTTTTATGTGTAACTTGAAAAAAAAAACTTGGCTACTAACCCTACATTTTTATTTTTTGATTACCTTGATAACGTCAAAAACAAAAAAGTTACAGGTGATCAAAATGATATCAAAGATAAAAAACATCCGGTACATAATTGATACATATATCCTGTTCACAATCCCATGTCCACAGGTGCAGGTAAATTTATCACCTTTCCCTATCAAATAGCATTGAAAGGTGATTTTACCTGTACCTACCTGTGGTGGTATAGTAGTAAATCCATAGTTGAATTATTTCAAAAGTTATCATTTCAATCATTCCTCGAATCAATCCATATTTCAATTTATTTGAATTCTAATTCTAATTCTAATTATGTGGCTATTTCCATGAAATCTAATTTTTAGGTGAGAAGCATAAAGTTACTCCAAGAATTTTGGAAGACTCGATAGATGTGGATGGTAATAATACCAATTCCGAGAAAAAACAAGAAGAAGTGAATCTGCATAAACAGATGCAGAAAACACAGTTGAAGAGAATAAAGTTCCATCAACATTGCCCTCTTCTTCTACCATATCAAGTCCATCTACCTCAACCCCAAGCCTCAGGTTCAAAAAGATTAACAGAAAACTTACACCATCCCGTAATGATGATTTCATTAAAGAAATCCAAAATGATAGGACCACAAGGAAGGAAGAACTTGGGTTTTTAAATAACACCTGTTGAAATCGGAGCAGCAGAAAGTAAGATTTTTCGACATATTAGAGGTAGCAGTTGGTATCAAAAAAAGAAAGAGGCAGGATTCTAGTGATACTGAATAACTATATTGTGGTTCTAAAAAAAAAACTCAGCTCATTGATTTTGGTATGAGGGTTTGACTTTTTCTACAGGGTGATTTTCTAAGTTAGACATTATTTGTAACAGCGTTTAGGATTTCAAAAAAAGAAGATATTTTTTCAAAAAAAGCAAAAATGGGACAGAAATAATTTTCTAAAGTTTTAATCAAACTAAAAATATTTAAATTCAAATTCTGTTTTCAGATCCTAATACCTTTATTTTTTACTATTTGTTTTTTTTCTAGTATATTCAACTACTTACGAGAGGTGTACACGAGAGAGCGTTTTTAAAAAACTTTATTTGACTAATACAATAGAACTGACTTAAATCTAAAAATTACTCCTTTTATAATATAAAAAATAAGCTGAATAGAACAATATAACTGCTGAATTGGAGTTCTCACGGGATATAACCTTAGGATATAACTCCTCCATCCTAAGTTAAAAGCATACCAAAAAAGGTTTGGTTTTATTCAATGGAAAAAATAAAGAAAATGCTAAAAGAAAAATATGATTAAACTAAATCAGTAAAAGTAAAATTGTTAAATTACAATATCGTCTTCTAACGAGGCTTTTTGGGCACGTTTAAGGCGATGTTTCAAAAGTAATTTATAGACAGTAAAAATGCATAGTATTCCTAAAATACAATAAAGTAATATTGTCCAAAAATTTATTTGGTGCATTTCCATTGGGTTGGATATTTCTTGTAGTCGTCTCTTCTGTTCTTGAAGCGTTGTGGCAATTTCATTGGTTTCCTTCAAGTTGATGGAGTTCAGGTCAAGTGTAGGTGGATTAAAAGCAAACTCCTTTGTTTGGTAATAATTCATCGATAAATTCAGTGTAGGCAAGGATACATCATCATAAGTCAAACGATTGGGCTTATAAGTTCGTAGAGTATTTGACTTTATTTGTAAGCTGCATTCATTTGTAGATTCGGCTAAGTAGGAACCATGAAGCGGTACGTTGTCCTTAGAGTTTGGACAAGATGCTGAGACAATTAGTTGTTCGGGCGTTGTGATTATCCATTTTCCGTCCGTTATTTTAGTGATTTGGACATTTTGTAGTCTGATACGGAAAGGGTGGCAAGTAGTGGCATTTTCTTTGTATAAAATTAATTGGACTGCACATGGAGGCTCATGATCAATGTATGCAGTATGGGCTTCTTTACATAAGTACTCGTTGGGTAACAATTGGTTGCAGGTTTGGTCCATATAAGAGTACTTGTTGTTGCTAAGTGCAAGGTATGGTTTGTGTGGAAAGTTCATAAAGAAATCAGGATTTTGATCGCTTGGAATTGGTATCAGAAATAATTGATAAAAGTGATAGACATCCGATTCGACCAATGGTATTTCCAAGATGAAGGTGATAATCAGGCCCTTTGAATAACCTTTAATCTCGATTATTTTTTCGTAGTTCAATATGTTATCAATATTGGCTTCTAATGGTAACACGTCATGCACTAATTGTTTTTTAAATCTACAAATTTCTTTTATTAGCTCTAATGGATCGATTATTGAATTATGGAGCGTATTGATTTTAGCAAATGAGATAGCTACTTCCGTTTTTTCTAAGATATCGTAAATTGTTTGATATAGCATTGATATCTGATTAATTATTATGTGAGTTTGGAAGTATTGATGGTTGTCAATAGCAGACAGAGCTACCTTTTTAATTGTGCTTTCAATTTGCAGTATTCTCGATTTTAGCGTTATTTGATTGGCAGATATATTAGAGATAACGTTTTGAAACTGTTCAATGGTTTTCCCTAATAAATTAATTTGATTAAATAGTTATTTTTGTATCAAGGGCGCGAAATGCTACTTTGGTGATCGAGATCTGATTTTTTTAACGAGGCGCAGCCGAGTAAAAAAAATAGTCGAGATCACCAAAGTATTTCGCGCCCGAGTTGCAAACAATATTTTTTCTACAATTCCATTTAAATATCAATCATTCGAAGCCAAAATTGCATTTTCAATCAAAGGTAGGTGAATTTCAATTATTTTTGATTTCCTGACAGGTATGTGTCACCATGACACCAGTGTGCGAACTAGCTATTTCGCGCACTAGGGTGCGAAATAGCTAGTTCGCACACTGGTGTCATGGGAACGTTAAAAAATCAATACCTGGGAAAAAACTGTCACTTCGCAAACTCTCATGAGTGTGCAAACCTCATCATTTTTTGACAGTTGTAGAAAAAGATTATTTTTTAAGTTTATCTTGATTTTCTTGTAATTGTCTAATTTGCCTATCATAAAGATCTGCATCATCTTTATCAAGATTGCCAGTAATGCATTTTATTAATGATCCTAAAGGATTCAAGCTGCCACGTTTTTGTCTTTTTGAGTAACTACTCGTTGGGTCAATTTGTAAAATGTTGTTTTCTATGCGTTTTTCTAATGCCATTAAAGGCAGTAACGTGTTTTTATATTCTCGTTCATAGGATACATTATTTGTAATGTTTTTAATTAAATAGTTAGCGTTTTCTTTGATCAAATAAAATTCGTTAACAATGGGTGTTAGGTCGTGAATTTGTATTAATGACCAATGATTGGAAACTATTTTGGCAGTTCCCAATTTATAAGGTAGGAGTCCGGGATATCTATTCAGGTTATGGAAGTTTATTCCTACTGCTCCGATGTTGAAGATTCGGATCCATCTGTAACAATAGATTTGATTTTGGTTTCGTTGATATGCAAAATCTCTTTTCGATTTGTTTTGGGGTTTTCAATTTCAATCTTGTTGTTTTCTAATATTTTCGTTAAGATGAATGGACCTGTGAATCTGTGGTGTAATTTACCACGTCGTTTGTCTTGTTTTTTATATATTTGACACCCTATGGTTAGTTTTTGAGGGGTCTTCTTTTGATTATGTTTGTCAATAAGTTTTTGTTTTAAATTAATTGAGTCTTGTTGTATTTTGTTATACAAAGCTTCCGTGTTAGTTTTGTGATTGTGGACATATTCGGTGAATATTTGCGCGGGTATAAGTTGCATGGTCACTAGAAGAAGTGTGTCCTAAAATCAATGTATAGGGAGTAAAGCCTGTGCTTGAATGGATTGTGCTATTATAAGCAATTACAGCATAGGACATTAGGGTTGATACGTCAGTATTTTTGTTTTTTTCTCGTAGTATTCTTATATGTTCTATCAGGGTCGAGTTTAACCTTTCAACTGGCGAATTCGACTCGTGATGATTTGGAGTAGTAAAATGGATTTTAATATTATGTGTTTTTAATAAATCCTTAACTACTTCGTTCTTGAATTCTGTTCCATTATCGGATACAATCAATTTAGGGATACCGAAAAATGAAAAGAAATGGATTAGATTTTGGGATACTGATATGGCTGTGCCAACGCAAGGAAGGGCTTGTCCATATTTGGAAAATTTGTCTATAATTACTAGGAATTTTTGTTTATCTACAAGGAGTGTATCGA